TTTCACCTTGATTAGAAGGCTCCTCAGCTCCTCCTCGCTTTCGGCCATCAGAGTGGTGTCCCTATCAGCCTGCGTCCCGCTTCATTTTGTTCTCCCAGACCATGCTTGCCTGTGATCCCAGTTGTCATTTGACTTCCCACCTTGGCATTCCAGTCTCCTGTAATGAAAATAATGTCTCTTTTTGGTGTTTTATCCAGTAGGTCCTGCAGATCCTCATAGAACTGATCTACTTCTGCTTCTTCAGCAGCTGTGGTTGGGGCGTATATTTGGATCACTGTGATGTTGAAAGGCTTTCCTTGCACTCGAATTGAGATCATTCTGTCATTTTTTGGGTTGTATCCAAGCACCGCTTTAGCGAATTTCTTATTAATTATGAAGGCTACTCCATTTCTTCGATGTTCCTCTTGTCCGCAGTAGTAGATCTGGTGGTCATCTGATGTGAAGTGGCCCATTCCAGTCCATTTCAGTTCGCTGACCCCTAGAATGTCTATCTTTAGTCTTGACATCTCACCAATAACAACATCCAATTTGCCCTGGCTCATAGATCTTACATTCCAGGTTCCTATGGTGTGTTGATCTTTAGAGCATCGGATTCGTCGTTCACCTCCAGTACCGTCGGCCGCTAGCCTTCCTTTAGGCTTTGAGCTAGCTGCGTCATCACATCTGGGGCTAGTTGAACTTATCCTCTGCTCCTCCCCAGTAGCATTTTGGCCATCTTCCGACCTGGGAGTCCCATCTTCCAATGGCATACCGACATATCTGGTTGTCCTGGTCCATTTAGTTTTCTTGGCAAGGATACTGGAGTGGTTTGCCATTGCCTTCCCCAGGGATCACGCTTGGTCTGACCTCTCTGCCACAACCGTCCCGTCTTGGGTGGCCCTTCACGGTTTCGCTCATGACATCATTGAGGTGCTCAAGCTCCAGCGCCCCGACAAGGCGGTGATCCTTTGCTGGAGGTTTTGTAAGTAAGGATATTATATTTCTCGTTTCAGCCTATCATCCTCAGTGGTTCCTGACCTCAATGAAGGTTAATTATAAGAGATGGGGAACTGACGCAGGGGTGGGGGGTGGGGATGAGTTTGCATGGATTGGTAGGGGAGAGAAGGAAGTCTGTAGGTCTAAATAGAAGCATTTTGGACAAGTTGATTCTTGAACCTCAAAATAAAGCTCAGACCTTTTTATCCACTTTATACTACTTGGGTTAGGGCGAACCACAAATAAAAAACTATTTTACTATTGTGGAGCTTTCTGTGTGTAGAAAGCTACATAATAGTAAAAAGCTACATAATAGTAACCCATCAAAAAAGAGTGGGGTTTTATTTAAAGATTTATTGTCTCATGCTACCAAAGTATTATTTTATAACAATATATTAATAACCATTGTTTGGTGATAATTTGAACCACCTGCAAATCCTTTGTTTTGATCAAAAGCATTTCTATATCCCCCATTCCTCCCCTGCTCTCCCCAACTCCCAACCCTAGGACTGAGAGGTGGCTTTGCAATTCACAAGATAATACATTAAAGGTTGTAAGTTAATGCATCCTATGGAACTTTTTCCCTTTTCCCAAATGGGCAGAGGGAATCAGTCCCTGCTCTCTTTCCAGTTCTTGCAGTATTGTTTATAACTAAATTCAAAGTATGCTTGTGTGTGTGTGTTTGTGTGTGCCTAGCCATATACAGTCGTCTTCTAAAAGATTATTAAAACCTTTCTATAATAATGTATTAGTACCCTCGCTTGAATCAAGTATTACTATCACCCCTTTTAAATTAAACTATCCATAAAACACGCATTTACTTTCCGCTATAGAAAATGCTAATAATGCTTTTAGAATGGTATTTAAAAAGTCTAATTATATCATTTAAAAACTGAGAGACCAAAGGGCAAGTTAAATTCTCCTAACATAAATCACTTCCCCCCCCCCTTTATTCCAATGACTTTAAAAACCTCAAATGCAGTAATTTTAATAGCAACGAAAGAATGAATAAGTCATAACTCCACCTGATCACATAACTGTCTATAACTGTTATTAAATGCTCGAAAATAAGTGAACTCATTATGTTTCAGTGCTGCTTTTAGCTAATCTAAGATTCTGCTCACTTAATCATGCAGAAAAGGCTTCAGCACAGTTTTAGACCCTCAGCAAGGTCACTCCGATGCCTTTTTTTCCCTGGTGCTGCTGCTGCTTTCTGCTGATCATTTAAGAACAGCACTTTTGACCTGAAGCTGATGATCTCTTATAGGAGCGTGAATGTTTAACCCCAGACTAGCTGGGCTGAGCAGGAAACATGTGTACTATCCATTGTTATACATTTACACATAAAACCACAAAGGAAGGTGTAAGATGCCTATTAGAGGTATTACAAATCTGTAAAATGGAGGTCTGCTCTCCAATACCTACCAACAGACACTTAGCCAATAGTTTCTAAAATTTCTAAGATGTCATAATCCCATTGATATTTATGAAATTAGTTTTGCTGTGGATATCAGTTGGTATCATCATATGCAGACATAATGAGATCTCCTGGAGACAAACTCCAAATCTGAATACAAAATCATGTATGTTTCATATACAACTTAAACACATAACTCGTAGGTAATTTTATACATAATATTTTTACTAATTGGGTGGATGAAACAAAGTTTGCATACACTGAACCATCAGAAAGCAAAGGTGTCAGTATCTTGCCTACCAATGTGGATAATTTTGAAGTGTTTCAGATTTCAGATAAGGAATGTTAGATCTGCCTACTGCAGATACTGTCAGTATGTTGACGGATACTACAATATACACTGCCATATACAGTACATTGTATTAATTTGTAAAGGGTGACCTGACCAAGTAATATCATGTTGTCTGTAGACATGCTTTTACTCTGCAGTATATGCCTTTTACTTAGATCATGGCATCTTTTATTATAATAACAGTCATTAAAAAAATTCCCACCAAAATAAATAATCCATTGGATTAGGAGAAAATCCTGTCTTGGGCATAATAACACAACAACATAATCCATGTTGCTATTTAATTTTTAGGAAGGAAGGACGTTTCTCTGTACTATCCCATTTTCCCCTGCCTCTTTAATTGAATGATCTCAGCCAGTTTAGGAATACAAAGTTATCATAGTTATCATATTGTGTGCTCCATCTTCAGTTTTAGCCTATAAAGCCCTAAACAATTCTGTCCAAATGTATCTCCCTCTATGAACCATCTTGGAGTATAAGATCATCTGAGGAGACCCTGCTCTCGGTCCCACCTCCTTTGCAGGCACAATTGACAGGGATGAGAGACCGGGCCTTCTCAGTGGTGGTCCCTCAACTGTGGAATTCCCTCCCCAGGGATATTAGATCGGTCCCCTCCCACTTGACCTTCCATAAGAGAGTAAAAACATGGCTTTGTGACTAAGCCTTTGGAGAACTTGTGCAATAGATAGATATGGAATGATGTGTAATGAACGGCTGGATGATGCTCGTGGATCATGTGATTAATTGTGACTGTATTGTTTTAAATGTTTTAATTCTTTTAATGTATTTTAATTCTATTTTTAAATGTTCGTTTTAATTGTACATGGTTTTAAGGCAGTGTTTCTCAACCTGGGGGTCGGGACCCCTGGAGGGGTCGCGAAGGGGTGTCAGAGGGGTCACCAAAGACCATCAGAAAACACAGTATTTTCTGTTGGTCATGGGGGTCTCTGTGTGGGAAGTTGTTGGGGTTCAGAACGCTCCTTGATTGTAGGTGAACTATAAATCCCAGCAAGTACAACTCCCAAATCTCAAGGTCTATTTTCCCAAAACCCCACGAGTGTTCACATTTGAACACACTGAGTATTCATGCCAAGTTTGGTCCAGATCCATCATTGTTGGAGTCTAGAGTGCTCTCTGGATATAGGCGAACTTCAACTCCCAAACTCAAGGTCAATGCCCACCAAACCCTTCCAGTATTTTCTGTTGGTTCGATTCCATTGTTGGTGGGGTTCAGAATGCTCTTTGTTTATAGGTTAACTATAAATCCCAGCAACTACAATTCCCAAATGGCAAAATCAATCCCCCCACCAACCCCACCAGTATTCAAATTTGGGCATACTGGGTATTTGTGCCAAATTTGCTCCAGTGAATGAAAATACATCTTGCAGATTATTATTTACATGGTGATTCATAATGTTAGGGTTATGGTTGGGGGTCACCACAACATGAGGAACTGTATTAAGGGGTCGCGGCATTAGGAAGGTTGAGAAACACTGTTTTAAGGCAACGAATAGTTGCCCGTGTAAAGACACCTTGAGTCCCCTCCAAGGTTGAGAAAGGTGGGGTAGAAATGTTGTAAATAAATAAATAAATACATCTTCTAGCAAATTCTCATTTGGCATTTTATAATTGCCAAATGATAATTGCACTTCCTTCAGCATCCTGTTCTGTTGCGGTTTACTAGCATAAGGACCATGAGAACAAGCCATGACAATATTTGTTTGAAATCATTCACATTAAAAAAATTAAAATGCAATTCTTACATTAGTTCCCTCCTGTCCCTCCTTCTTTTCTTTCTCCCCCCCCCCACTCCTTCCTTCTTCCCTCTTCTTTCTTTGCATCCTTCCTTTGCCCTTCCTTACATCCTTCTTTCCTCCATCATTTCTCTCTCCTTCCTTCCTTCATTCCTTCCTTCCATCCTTTCTTCTTCTTTTAATTGTATGTGAAAATGTTTATAATTTTATGGCATTGAATGTTTGCCTTGTTTGTGTTACGTTTAAAAGCCGCCCTGAGCCCCTTCGGGGAGAGAGGTGTGGGTTAGAATTACAATTATTATTATTATTATTATTATTATTATTATTATTATTATTATTATTATTATTTTCTTTATTTGAGACAGGCTGAAAGAGCCCAACGAATAGAAACCACTCAGCGGGGCCCATTTATTCCTTGTTGTCTTTGGAAGCTTTTGTTTACTCCCAATATTACTGCTTGTAAAAAAAATCTTTACTTAGTTTATATTCCATCTGTAGAACATACAAGAATCTTCTAGAAATCCTGACCCTGTGATTACCAAGACTGAAAGTTTCATAACAACACTCAAAAGAAAGGAATTCAAACCGCTTGAAGGACAGTGGGCAACATACCTAGTGAAGGCAAGGTTGGTTGGTCCCATTTTTCAATATCCCATTTTATTCTTTGTGCAAGGACCATGAAAGAAGAGCAAAAAGGCGGTGGGGGGTGGGGGTGGCGAACTCAGTGACTACGGAGCCAGAAATCCCCTTAAATGCAGCTGCTGTCTTGTCCTCCAGCCTGTCTATGAAATAAAGCCACCAAAACACTTACACAAGTCAGATTGATGCAGCCCTTTTCTCTGAAGTCTGATCAATCGTTGTGACACCATGGCACTGCCATGGGGTAGTGCCACAAAATCACAGCTGTGAGGAGAGTGTCTCACCTCAAGCTTTGTTTTTTCTTACAAAGAGGCTTGTTTTCAAAGGCACTTAAATATATCTATTCTCAACAAATGAACAAACAACACTGCAATATCACCTCAATGACTTAGCAAAAACAAGCATAAATTAAAAGGCCAGGCTAAGCACATTTGTGATCTCATCTTTTCTTTGTTCAAAAATCTTAGTATTCAGAAATTGCCTCCTGTAATTTTTCAAATTACAAGACAACTTCACACATTAAATTTGTAGATGTGTGTATGAAGTGTCTTCCTTATACTTGCTTTCTAATCTGACATGACAATTAGTTATGAGTGAATCTGATGGTTTCATTTTCACCAATTTTTACCCACAATGGTGGTGTAGAGGAGTTTTGCTTTGTAAGGTTAGATTCACTTCAACAAGCTGATCACACTCTCCCTCACCTCTTCTCAAGGGTCCTTTTCACACAATACAATAATAGTGCCAAATTATAATTCTACTACAATTGTCATGGCTGGTTCCAATGGAATCCTGTCCTTTAACACCCTAAAGGCACAAGATCCCACCTGTTCTTAGAAGCTAAGCATATTCAGCCCTGGTTAGGTACTGCCAATAAACATCAGATGCTGTGGGGAATATTTCAGAGGAAGGAACTGACAAAATCCACCCCTGAGTGCATGGCAGCAGTTCGACTGGGTGGCCCTCATGGTCTCTTATAACTCTATGCTATGGACTCACCATATGTCATCTGGCAAAATACACACACAAAAGATTTTGGAGCTCAGTGGTTGGTTATTCTAAACAGCTTTTCCTAAACAGAAATCCAAGGATTCAAAACGATTTTGCTACAGCAGTTCAAGTGGAAATATTGTGTGGTAACAACAGTATGAAAAGTCCCAAGATTTCTTAGAGTTTAGCTGCAACCCGCTCAGTTATGGAGGAAAGAGTCAACAGCTATGTACTAGTGTGAACAGCGCCTGCTGTAATACAAAGGATTTTAGGGTGGTTTGGGATTAAATGGACAACCAAGATGTATATATTTTGCAAAACACATATTTGTGATGACATGAAAAATATTTGTTGATATGGATTAACACAAAAGCCCTAATTTTGGGACCCTCTTTGGGGAGAAGGTTATGGGAACAATCATGATGACTACCTGCACTTAAAGATTTATAATTCCACTGCTCATAAGCCATAAATAATTTGTTGAAGAAGTAACACCACAGTTGCACAAACTCATCCACACCCTGCTTGTAAGATCTGTGGTGATCAGCTATCACAAAGCCACATTTTAAAAGACCTGGAGAATGTATAGTCAAGATTAAAAATAATCCATAAGAACAGAAAAGAACAAAAGCATCCATTACCCCCACAAGAGAGGATGGACAACTTTGGTGGATCCAGAGATGCACACACAAATGTAAGTGCCTTCTAGTGCAATCATAGACTCATAGAATCTAGAGTTGGAAGAAATCACGTGGGCCATCTAGTCAGTATAAAATGCCTATTTTTGCAAAATATATTTATTTTCCTATAACTACAAAAGACACGTTTAGAGGGAAACACTATTTAAATTAGAATTTTCACACTTAAGAAGAAATTGTTGTCAAAAAGGGAGAGAGTGAGCTTCTGGCTGAATATTGAAAGCAGCAGCAGTGGCAGCATGAAAAATTCCTGTATTATCTGCCATGTGCATGAAGATGTTGTAAATTGTTGCTGTTGAGGGTCCTGGGTTTTGTTTTTTTTTGTTTTTGTTTTTGTTTTTTTTAGGATTTCATTGTTATCTGTGGCAGAGGGAGACAAAGACTTTATCCATGGAACAGAATGCCTTTTTAGGCCCATTTCAGAAGATGTAAAATGTAAACTTCTCCATGCCAAATGTCCACATGACTGCAGTGGGAAAAATAATATCTCAACCAGCATCACTCCATTGACAGCTGCCATTAAAAAAAATTGGTCCACGTACTCACATGAATAGCCTCTGGGAAGCAGCAGCTGTCAACATGGTCATGCTGGTCAGATGTTATTTTTCATTCCTTTGTCCACAGCATGTGCAATTTTACAGCATCTGGACTTCTGTCTCTTAAGTTTACTTGTACAGCTTTGAGTCCAATTCTTGTGCACATCTACTCAGAAGTGGGTCTCCCTGGGTATCTGCTGCTTCACTTGTGCATATAGTATTTCATTCTTGATCTGCATTCAGGGCTATAGGTGCCATTCTGTTTCCTCGGTGAAGCAGTTCCTTCAGTCTCAAACTTTTTATCACTAAGTTAAAACTTCAGTTAAGCATTTAGAATCAGATTTTAAGCATCCAATGAGCAGAGGCAAGCAACATTGCCAAGGGAATGCAAACACGGCAAATGTCAAAGTTCCAGATGCAAATGGTTTTCATTACCTCATTCTTTGTAATTTTAGAAATTTGGGACTGAAGAAAATTTTCACTGAGAAGCAGAATTCTTATTTGTAGGAGCAATGCTCTGATTTTGACACACACACACACACACACACACACACTTCATCCCTACCTATATTCATTCAAGAAATAGTAATAGAAAACTAAATCTCTTTACACTTCTCAAAAGGTGGGTAAAAACAAAATCAATGTTGTTTTCCTTTTGGCTTATGTCACAATATTTTGAATTATATTGTGAATTCATATCTACTTTTGTTGTGTTTCATTTTAAATCAATCCAGAATTTGTTTGTTGACCATTTGTTAAAGAGCTTCAAGACAAAGATTTGTGCCTATGAAACTATTTCACCAATCACTCTCTTTGCCCATTTGCTAATTAATATTCTTGAGATGTGAAGGCTCACCCAACACATATGTTACTACTTTAGATTATTGTCTGGGTGAATGACACTTTACAACATGAGAAACAGAGAAGATACCATTGTAAACTATGTGAGAATAATGACTTTTTCTTCTCACACATGCAAAGATAATTGGGGAGGGGGATTGCAAAGTTCATCTCTTTTGTATTCAAAAGTTGTTTAAAATTGATAATTAATTTGTCCTTAAAAACAGGAAGCTGAACATGTTCTATTGGTGTGTGTGTGTATGTGTGTATATATATATGTGTGTGTGTGTGTGTGGTATATATAAGTGTGTGTGTGTGTATATATATATATATATATATATATATATATATATATATATCCACAACTTTTATGCAAAAGTGAAATTTTATTCATTGCTTTTTCTGGTTTTTCTTCACTGATATTGACCACTCTGAGCCCATACTGTAAGTTGAAAATAATGTGATAACCTGATTTAACTTGAGTTTAGCACTACCACTAAGAATTCTAGTCCCATCCCAAGATTTTAGTACAGCTAAGAAACTACAGCCTCTGCAATATATACACATCTTCCAATTTTAAACATGTAATTTAGCAGAAGGTCCAGGTGATGATGCTGTCTAAGTAACATGCTCCTTCAAATTCTTCCATCTTTTTCTTAGTTAAAAAGGCATTTAGAGAATTTCTACAAGCTCTTTAGCCAGAGATAACCCTAGTTGCCTGCTATTTATTTATTGTATAGGAAGCAAACCAAGGGAACAGTTGTAATGTATTCAAAAAACACAAAGTTTAAAAACTTGACATTATATTAAATTTCCTTTGACCAGTAGCTGACCACTTGGGAGTGCCTCTGGTGTTGCTATAAGAAGTTCCTCCATTGTGCATGTTGCCTGCTGAAAGAATACTACTAAACTGGCTACATGAAACAAATCTTCACGCAGTGGTTAGCCAGTACATCAATCCACAATTCCAAATGGTTACAGCTGATATTGCAGATCAGTGCAAAATATGTTAACTCTGAATGTCAGGTTAATCTGATCTGACACGGCTGAATGGAAAACATATGAATTTACCAATATTTGGAAAAATACCAATCAGAGCCTCTATATCACTCCCTATTCTTACAGTGTTCTCTAGCAGAATCTGGTAGCATTTCCCCATTTCTTGTGTCTTTATATCCTTAAATGTTAGGAAATAGATGGACAATCTAAAATCTTTGTGGTATCTGAACACAGGCATATAAGGCCTTTTTGGATATTATTTTCAATACCATTAAAGTTGTTGCAATGTGCTTCCTTCTGCATGGCCTGATAAAGTCAGAAACCTGAGGTCACATTTCTACATGACTTCTGTACGATTAAAAATATTTGTCTGAATCCTACTGTTAGTCCCAATTAGAGCAAATCTATTGAATAAATTGAATTAACCTATGTGTTCTCACATTCCACAATTGATTCAATCTACTTTAGACTATCCAATAGGTAAAGGCAGAAGGGTATTTATGGAATGATGAGAGGTGAGCTGCTAGGGATGGTGCAATTGGGCTTTTTGAAGTGGCTGTGAACTTTTTAATGCATTTTAATATTTTATGTTCAATTGTTTAATGACACAAAGGGTTTAATTGTGTGTGTGTGTATTTGTATTTTAATGTGTGTACATTATTTTATTTGTTAGCTGCGTTGAGTCCCTATATCAGAAGCAAGGTGATAAAAATAAAGTAAATAAATAAAGCAAATGCAAGGAGCCAAGCATGGAACAGGATGGCTAGCTTCAAGAGCAGCTCATAGCTCAGTAGGAGACATATTTTACAGGTAGAAGGTTCTATAGACCTTCTCTGGTAGCCAGGTAAGGATTTCAAGTTTCTGTACTTGGAATGATCTCTGCTTGAAACCTGGTAAAACTAACACCAGACTGGTTAGTATAAGACAGGTCCTATGGGATTTGTTAGTTCTGTGTGTCAAATCTGACCATGCTGACATTAAAAACATGCAGCTTGGTTGAGAAAAATAAAGTGTAGGTAGATACTGGATATTAGTAGTGGGGAAGTGAATCATAAGATTTAAGTCAAATAGAAAGCAGATTAGTCTAGCTGACTTTATTAATCTTGATGTCTTCTATAAAATATGCATAAGCACCTGAACAGGTGTCAGGATATAAAGCCCGACTGCTCATTTGAGGGAGGGATATTAGAGGCAAAGACGAAGTACTTTGGCCACATTGTGAAAGACAGGAAAACTTAGAGAAGACAATGATGCTTGGGAAAATGGAAAGAAAAAGGAAGAGGGGCCGACCAAGGGCAAGATGATGGATTGTATCCTTGAAGTGACTGGCTTGACTCTGAAAGAGCTGGGGGTGGTGACGGCCGACAGAGAGCTGTGGCATGGGCTGGTCTATGAGGTCACAAAGAGTCAGAAGCAACTGAACAAATAAACAACAATAAAGGTGTAACTTGGTCCCTTAATACTATTTTGTATTAATTTATACATCACTGTAACTTTTAATTCCTTCCTACCTGGTTTTGTAAGTAATATTGAAGGAAGAAAGAGAAAAATGAAACAATATTTTCTAGGTTGCTGTAAGTTTTTTGGACTGTATGGCCATGTTCCAGAAGATGGCCATAGAGCCCGAAAAACTTACAGCAACCCAGTGATTCCAGCCATGAAAGCCTTCGACAATACAATATTTTCTAGGTTTTATTATTTATATTCAACTTCATTATGAGGAATATCTGGATTATTCAGTATACAATTCTGTTCTAGAAATGGAAACAAATCACAGATCTTGAGTGCTTTAAGATAATTTGGCCCCATGTTTGTGTAGTGCCTATTGTTACTTCTATATGGAAACAAACCAATCATTTTACATTAAAAAAATAAAAATCTAATGCTAGCTAATATGTGCAGAGGTCTGGTATTTGCCTGATCTTACTAAGTAATAATTGCCACAATTATACAGTATTAATTCTGAAAAACAATGTCAGCAATTCTTGTCCATCATCCAGGCCTGAAAGGTTTTGCCAGAAATATAGTATGTTTGTGAATGTGTAAGAGCATTAGGTAGAAAAGATGTTTAGCAAAAGAGCTCTGAAGACTGCATTGGAACTGAGTGATTCCTTTGTGTGAGACAAGCCTATTTGTTAATTTTGAAAGCTCTCTAGAGTTAGGTGATTCATGAAGGCATGTATGCATACGCTAAGGAAATCACCGTCAATTTTCTCACATGAAATATACAGTAGTCAGATGCAGTGTTTAATCATCATTCTGTTTTATAAGACTATCAATGAAATGAAATCTGCTGGTGTGTTTAAATAAAACTGTTTAGAAGCCAAAGTCATCAGTGGATGCACTTTTTAAAAGAAATGTCATCTTACATTTATGCTTGGGGGAGAAGCAATCGACTTAAACTGGATTTGAATGGCTAGGAAGCCAAAGTATTTACAGACACCTTGGATATTCCAGTCCTCACACTCTTTCTACCTGCCACAGTGAATTTGAGCTGGATCCCGCAAGTGCTGTCAAATCCAAAACTAAGTGTGTCCTTCATTCGGAGAACTCCTACCAAGAATATCAGTCAGCAGGTGCCCCCTCCCTACACCGTAGCCTGCAATTAGTTGATATAGCAGAAAAGCAAAACTGACAGAATGTGGGAATGCTGTTGTTTGTCTATCTGTGACGGGAAGGAATGGCTTAAGGGGCAATCCCCTTGTGAAAAAAAAACCTGAGAGAAATGTTCACCTCCCAAGTATAGACCATGATGACAGCAAAGAATCAGCCCAACTTATTTAAGGCTACATGAAATTTGTTTTAATAATAACCAGATAGGGGTTTTTTTTTACAGTTTCCTAGGAGATAGATATTGGCTTCCAAAATATAGTTTGGTTTTCTGATTCACCCAGTGTTGCCAGTGGGTCAAATGAAAATGGAACTACATCCAATCTCTGTTTATCACAACCATATAGGATGGATCCTCAAATTTGCACTGACAGCAATGTGGATCTGCAAATCTCTTCTTCATAGCCTCCACCTTAGAATATATGGGCAACAAAGGCTATTGTATCATTAACAATTGTATTATCATGAATATTATTATTTCTGTTGTTATTGTTATTTCACAGTTTTTGGTCTTTGGAAATCTGTGAAAGTACTCAATTTTTTTATAAGCAACTGTTTCAGACAGCTACCATATTTCCAGAAGGACACTGTGCTATCTCTCTACCTTTAATATCTATGTATCTATTATTTTAAATGCATTTATTGCTAAGGCTATGCAATGATGTTGACTTAGATTCATAAATTCCCTTTCTTTTCAGTTTTGGTCATATGATGTATCTCAGTATTTACAATTTTCAGAATCTCCTGATGGTCTATATTTATTACAATTCATTTATGAATCTCTTATTTTATCTAAATAATTTGGATTTGGGGAAAAATGGAAGTGAGACAAGACAGGACAACATGGTGGAACTTCAACTAGGTATCTTTATAATTATAATAGCTTGCCATCTAGCTTTGATGATTCAGTGAGGTCTAATATTTAACAGCATATTATTGTTGCAATGGAATTAAAACTAAGAATTGAACAACAGTTTTTCCTCCTACATGAAAATACAAAGCACACTTACACACATACATACAAGGCGAATCAAAATAACACAGTTACTCTTCAGCACCATTGTTTAGTCAGTGCAAATGTGTGGCTATACCAATTTGGGAGTTTCTTTCCATAGATTTCTTCCTTCATATAACATATCAGCCAGAATGCATACAGTCACACAAGTATTCTTTAATGAAACCTTTGCAAATCTACAGCAACATTCATCTAAGTCAGTCTCTCTTATGCCTAAATGGGAAATATTGAGGCACAAATATTTTTGTGTTTGGGGGGATTCTCTAGGGACATGCACACATAAAATGGAAGCGGTGTGAGTAATGAGTGACAGTTTCTTAAAGGTTAATATTTTCTTTAATCTATTTCCATAACAGGAAGAAGAGAGAATATGCTGCTAAACACAAGGTGTGCTTTTGGGATTAGAAAAACAATCTCTGCTGTTCTGTATATCGAAGACCATGGGGAGCAGTACAAATAACACAAACAAATTTTATTGTGTTGCATGAAATATATAAGTGCTTTAAATATGTTTTCCTGTGTTATTAAAAATGGACTGAGGGATTCTTCTGATTTTTTTTCCCCTGACTACTAAAAGTAAAACTGCCCTTAATGCTGGACTAGGCTCTTTGATTGTCATGTAAGGTAATGAAACCATTAAATGCACGGTATTAAGAAGAGACAAGATGCAATTAGCTAAGAAATTACTCTGATCTCAGTGACATTTTCAAAAAATCATAATACAATATACATCGGAAGACGTGATTGACAGTCTAATCCAGTTTTGATGGAACGTAGTCCACATACTGAGAGTAAAGCAGTACATGGCCAGATAAAACTCACAGCTGTGGATCCCTGATATGTCCTTACAGCCTTGTCACCCTGGAAATTCCTCAGGTTTAAAAGATGATGAAAGTATCGACCATTAATGACAGGATCATCTCCTACCCTGAAATAAAATGTACTAATCCCTTTTGCTAGGTCTATGAATTCCTAATATAAATTATATAAACTCTGGTAATTCATCTCTGTTAGCACAGTTGTGTTTGGAAATTGTACAGCAGTCTTTGCCCTGTTTGAAATGCTAGATGAAAGCAAGACATGTTCGTTTAAGCTGCAGCATAAAGTAATTTAACACAGGGAACAGAATAACTTCTGGATAATGAGCACGAGATATGAAAAAAGAAAGAAAGGAGGAAATTCGAAAGTTCTAAAGTGAGTAGGAAAGACCAACTGAAAGAGCAGGCCACATAACTAGAATTATGAAGAGAAAGGGTTAAAATACAGTCCTTGCAATGTATTTTGCACTTGAGAAAAATACCGTATTTGGTCTCACTTCAATGAAAAACACACAATGGCATTATATGTCCTACAAATAATACGGCCAGGATTCTATTTATCCTTTGAAATTGTCATTGAAACAATAAAAGGGGGCATGTCTTTGGAAAAGATACATGGCATGTGTGGGAGATTCCCTTTAAATATTCATTAATTGCATTACAATAGTTGGCAATGTGACATATATAGTCCTTTGCAATACTGATTTTGCTGAGGAGGAAGCCATTAATAAGTTGAAACACCTTCTGAACATGTTGGGACTGTGGAACCAAGTCTAAACCTTTGTATTCTAACATCCTTCCACTTGCAAAAGTCAGCATCTCATGAGGGTGGTAAATCCACCCTCAGTTTTCAGCCCAGAGAAGTATCCCACGTGTTGGACCTCTTGGAGATCGTGTTCTGCATTTTGGATAATTCCATTTATGTTCCAATAAACCTTGTAATGGAGTCACTGGCCCACTGACACTGTAACTACCTGCATACTTCCTTAGGTCAGGACAGACCAGCCTGTAGTAGTGTCTGTTCTGACTGGTAGTGGTTTGCAAGCATATTCCCATTATCTTCTGCCTGATTCTTTTAACTTGAAATGGTAGTGACTGAATGTCCACATATAAAGCCTTTGCTCTGTCCTGAATTATGACTCCCCATATGCATCATAGCTAAACATTGTTTGCAACCTCTGATCAGAGATGGAGGAAATACAGAGACTCATAAGGAGCAACAGATCATATTTACAGTGTTCATTAAGCAATGATATGACAAGGAAAGGAAGCATTATATACATGTGTCACTGTGACATGCACAGACATCAAATACTCAAGACACAGAGCAAGAAAGAATGCTGTGGGAATGAAGAACATGGCTGAAAATATAGGTTTATCTTATATTATTTCACATGAGGATGTTGCTGTTTATTGATGCAATTTCAATATGTTGAAGGAGGCAGAACAAGAGGGATTCGGTTCTTTTATGTCTGACTAACATTGTTTTTGCCACTTAGGTTCAAAATCATTGTAGTGAGATCAAAAGCTAATAGTATATGCAAGCTCCCACAGCTTGTGGGATTAAAGGCAGCCTACAGGTATGGTGGGTTACAGCAGGCTGAAACTCTATAGGCTTCTGTTGGAAACCACAACTCATTGCATACTGTTCTGCTATCATCTCAAAGCAATGTGGAAAGAGCAAAACCAAACTGTATTTTTATAGATAAAAATGTGACAAATAGAATTTGATTTTAAAATACTTTTTAAATATTGTTCACTTTAACAATACTATAGTAAATATTACTAGAATTAATAGTATTATTTATACAGCATCCAACATAGAAGTTCATGTACAGTAAAATAGTATTATTTTTCATATGGTAGATGAGGCTTGGAGAGAGTAGCATGCCAAAAAACTGTTCAGGGGTAAGTACAAACTCAAAACCACTATGGTGCATCAGCTTTTGCTTTTGTGTAGCTTCTATGAAGTATAAGGATATGTAAAGGTTTGAGTGCTGGACTAGGACCCTAGCAGACCAAGGTTCAATTCATCACTCAGTCACAAAAAATAACTGGGTGACCTGGGTAGATCACATTTTCTCAATGTTAGGGACACTGTAAATTAGAAATAACTTGAAGGAATAGGAGGGGGGTAGCAAAGAGGAGGAGCAATGGCAATGGCTATAAAAGTCGTAAATAGTTAGGGAATTCCTTCTAGTCGGTGTGCACCTAGGGCACCCCTTTAAGGGGTGACAGGCCATTAAGTTGAGCATTCACCAGTTCAAGGGTGAAGTGCAGTCGAATGGCCTCGAATGGAAGGAGTCTGGATACAAGAGCTTTGGGACAGACTCCTCATTCGTTTCCCTTCACGGTATCTGGTTTTATTACCGGTACCCAGGTGTTTCGCCCGGAAATTGTTGTTATCGGGTAGTGCCACTACCTGGGTTAGGTTTGCCAGTTCCTGACACCCTTGAGGTAGTTAAGAGTTAAATAGGTAACGTTAAAAATAAATGTTGCCCAATTTAAATCCAAAAAATGGTTGTTGTGTCGTTATTTATCGTGTCGTTCTTCGGGGGTTGGTGGACAAAAGTTATGTCCTATTCTCCAAGATAAGGCAGAAGTGGAAATCATATGCCCTTCTACAGTTACTGTCACACTGCAGCTTCCACCATTTGTCACTGTTGGCTATGCTGGTTAGGGCTGCTGGAAAACGTGGTCCAGCACCATTTGGAGGGCCACATGACTTGCATCCAGAGACAGGTCTTCCCAGTGAATATCTGCAGCATTTTTTTTTCATTCTTTTGGAAAGCTGTATTAAGTCAAAACTCTTATTGCCAATTTGCAAAAAAAATAAGCTAATGTGATCAACAAGTTAATATTTTTGAAAGTCTTTCTGATATTATAGATGCATTTTGTTCCTGCAAACCTATGCTTCCATACTGCAATTCAGATGGATCCCAAGAGAAGTAATATTTCAGCTAGAGTCCTTTCACACTTCACAATTACAGCATTATCGTTCCACTTTGCTGCCATGACTGCATAGAACCCTGGGATTCATAGTTTAGCAGGGCAAGGGAATACCCCCTCTGAACAAACCTTACCTTTGGGTCACCATCAGTCAGAACCACTTGAAGGCCCAAAACAACAACCATCAAACAAGGCACTAGAACACTTTGACTGACAATTCTAAATAGCCCTGTCTAAAATGCAAATCCCAGGGTCCATAGGATGGAAGTTTGGCAGATAAAAATGGAATCATAGTGCTATACCTGTGTAGAGTGAAGGAGCTACTGGTTTTACCATACCTGAGAGTCTATAAAATTAACTTAGTACTCATCTGAAGTGTTCTCTCACACACCAGGATCATCAGATCTTCAGAAATGCATTTTTGGGAGTGGGGGGGAGTGTAAGAAAATGTCTGCTTTCCGCTTTCCATGAATTATTTCTTTCCAAACAGTGAAACCTCCTCAGGCAAAGGGCTGCCAACCTATTTCACACACAAAATGATCTCTCCTTGCTTCCTTAAATTCTCTTTGAAAATAAAATACCTTTGTGTATTACTTCCACCAGTTCAGCATGAAATATTACTAGACTAGGCTACCACCCCCCCCCCCTTTAAAAATAAATAAAGAACAAGCACACCTACTTGATGCAAATCAAATGCTAAAAGCTTTTTTTTGCTTTTTTAAATAAAAAGGTAGATAAAGAAAAATGCAACATCAGATTAATTTTTTTTCTAATTTAAGTATATTTCTATATTCAGTCAAATGCTAATTAGATGTTATATATTTCCAGTGCTAGCAGTAGGCTACTATTTATCTGATCTGTTTGAAATTGCAATCCCAGTTAGGAGGAGCCATTGAAAAAGCTAAGCATGTATTATAATTGTGGTAATACATTTTTCCTTTTAATTTCTTATTTCATATTACTAAAATAACCATGGTGGATCCATGTTCAAAAATTCACATTTGACAAAATAACTTAAATATGAGAGGAAAATATGGGGATGCATTCACTCACGTGTGTGTATGCTCAGGCATGCAAGGAATGTATTGCTCCTCTATTATTTTAAGCAAAACTTTTTCAATTAAAATTGTCGTTAGTCTGTGTAGAAATAATTTCCCTTTTTTTAAAAAAATTGATGCTTGGAGATATCATTTTATTATTCACCTGACAAGAATTTGTTCTAGGTGTGCATTGAAGAAGCTTTTTAGCTTTTCATTCAGAAAATAAATATATTGTAATGTGCTAATGGTTTTTTGAAAGCTTTAAATAACACTTCATTTCTGTTTTTCATGTCTACATATGTGTGTGTGTGGATGGATGGATGAGACAAATAAAGTTAGATTAGCTGTATGGTAAACGTAGTGCATCCTTAGAAATCTAGGAGATTCGTGGGCACTTTATAAATTTACTGTTGTTATTTGGTGATGGCTTGCTTTAATAAGAGAAAACATTCTGCTATATGTTTTCAAAGCACTGCACAAACCCACAACCTCATGAAATATGTGTGCAAAAGAATAATTTTCTGCTGAAAGAATGAAACATCCGCTATGAATAAAAAAATGGGGTGGGGGGGATTGAACGGCAGCTTATACAATTAACACAAATGGAAAAGGAGACCTTCCATCTGCTATTTTAAGGATGGGGTTGGTTGGAGGGAGGGATGGAGAGAGAGAGAGAGAGAGAGAGAGAGAGAGAAGGAAATCTTGTTCACTTTAAAGAAATGTTAAATACTTTTTT